ACACCCAGCAAATGCCAGCAAATAACCACCATATTTACCTTTACGGATAGTCTTCAGGGACATACGATAAATACCCAGATACTCACGGACCAGGAGGGAAAAATTTCTGAAGAGCCCATGACACAGGAGAAAAATATTTTCCTTTAGGATATCTTAGGACATAGTAATCAGTACTGACCAGGGGAAAAAAATTTCATAGCTCAACATTTCTTAAAAGGTGTAATACTCCGGTCTACAAACGCATCTAAAACAATGTGAGTATAATAAAAAATAAAAAATAACTAAAAAATAACAACCTTCTCATTAAGTGCATTCTTCTTCTCAGGCCTGTTGAAGGTGATAGTCCTGACACCTTCATGGAGTGTGACAAGGAGGTGTTCATAGCGAGAGCTGTCTGCTGTGGGGACTCCAGGAGGGGCGCTGGACATCCACCTGGTCGAGTGCTGCAGAAGAGTGTGGTTATCCTTATCCATAATCTTGGACTTCAATTCCCAGGTGTATGAGGGCAGCAATCTTGCTGCAATTTGGGCATGGTGTACCCTCCTGAAATGGATATGTATTTAGTGCTTTGAGTTATACTTGAATAATAACAGATACTCATTGTGTGTAGAAGTAATTGTATATGTGTTTAGACTAAGAGGGACCTGGAAACAAATATGATATTCTACATGGAACTGAAACTTTCAATACATTCACAGACGGCCAAAATGAGCCCCTAATCTATTCCTACTGCAAATCATTATTTAATTTGCTTTATAATTTGTTCTGGCTACTTAGAGATATCTTGATAAATTGTATTGATAAATAAAACTTAATTATGAACACTAGAAAGAACTGAAAAGTCTCGATATGATATAATCATACACCATTGGCTTTCCTTCTGTAAACTCAAAAAAATAAAGTAATATCACATTAAACTCAGTAACAGAATATAACAATGTAATATGAAATGTTATAATATAACATGATAAGAACATACCATGACATAATGTTCACCTAATAGAATAAAATATAATATAAAGCAACATAACATACAATACAATATACTTCATAAACAAGTAAGAGAAATTAACAATATAATATACAATGTTATAGTGAAACATGATAGAACATAACATGACAGAATTTCAACAAAATACAATATAATACATAATGTAATATAATCTACACTATTACGTATAATATATCATGGCACAGACAGAAACAGGGCATGGAAAGGGAAACACCCAAGGGTTATAATGGGTGAGTCAGCTACATATGTGTGAATGGAACTTCAGTACATTTCCAAAACCCTGTTTCAGCAACTCCCTTTCAAGTAGAGAGACAGTATATAATGCTTGTATAAGGGAAGATATTCTTAAATACCTTATCATTCTTCAAGAGAATAATGGCAGGTGTATTAAATTTTCACATTACAGGGGAAAGAAAAAAATATCAGACATATTCAGAAATAAATACTCTTTCCAAGTATCAAGACCAAATCATCCACATGACAGTGTTAAGGAAGCCACTTCAGTGAACTTTGAGAATTGATGCCTCATTAATTCATAACAAAATGTCAGGCAAAGTATCTTAAGAGTAGAAAGATAAACCTTCCTGAAAACTCTAATAGTTCTTGGGTACTTTGCAGGAAACTATTTTGTTGTGCAAGATGAAATTCAGTCTTTTAACTGGAGTAAGCAATGTTGCAGGCTGCATGTAATAGTTATATATTATATAAAAAATGAAACTTTTCCACAAACCATTTTGCAATGTATCAGATGATTTAGACTATGATACCAGTTTTGTCTACAAAATAGTTACTGAAAATCTTCAAAAACAGAGACGGCTTTCATCAATAAGGTTGAATAATTCCCTGATGGGAAGTGCAAAACCTTGTGTTATCATAAAGCAGATTTCAGCATTGATGCAAACTGGATTTTCTTTGCAACAAGTCAAGGCAAATCACCATGTGATGGAATAGTCAAGATATTGACAAGATGGAATAGTCAAGATATTGACAACCTGAGCAAGCTTGCAGAAATTATTGTCTGAGCAAATTCTCACTGTTTCAGGAATGTGTACATTCTGGCAAGAGAACATTTCAAACATCAGATTTTTGTTTATCTCAAAAGAAGGAATGAGTGTTCATAAAAAAGCTGCAAAGTAGATTTGACTCAGGACATATGTTACCTGGGACCAGGAGCTACCACTTTGAGCCACAAACATTAAATGTCATTGCTTACAAGTAAACATCTGAATATGTTACCTTTGCAGACACATTTAACATTACTGGGAAACCTCAAAACATTTTCCTGAAGACAATAAGCTTAAGTGACTATTTAGCCTGAAATAATCTGCCAGATTGATGCACCCATAACTGTCACTGACTGTACATATAATAAATCTAAAGTTGATTTAAAACAAATATATAATATCTTTACTTTGGGAAACTGGAAGGTAATTTGTTATTTGCCATAAAGTAGAGTCATCACTTTAGTCACTCTGACCATACCTTCCATACGTTTTTTATGATTTGATATTTTGATACTCGGAAACTTTCAAATGCCAGATCTTAGAAACCCATTGGGCTTTTTATGAACTCTTGAGGCCATGCTTGCAAGCAAATTATTCAAAATAATTGGGAACAATTTATGTGCAATAGCAAATTTTCACAAAAATCAAATTCAATTTTCTTTTGTCTCCTCCATATACAAATGGTTCTCTTGCTGTTTTTAAATAGTTCAAAGACTGCTTTTTTTCAATTGGTATAAAGTAAACTGGTCTATGTTTAGGGAGACATAGAAAATAATTGGCTCAAAATGAAGAGATTAAACATTTTCCTGAAACCAATAAATGGTTCATTGACAAAATTCATACAGATAGCTATATTCTATGTTATTCTAAGTGTAATTTTTGGATTCCTCAGCATCAAAAGGTGCAGGGCACAAATTTTCATTCACATAGGAAATATGAAATTATTTTAAGATGCACCAAAAGTCAGAGCATCCATGTGCAAGTGAAACATGGGTAACGCCACACCCTAAAATGAAATATTTTTCGATTAGCTGTAAATCTGAAACCTCTTGTGATATCAATCTCATTTCTTTTGGAGGGGGGTGGGGGGAGACTGTTCTCAATGGGGTTAACAAATATTCAAAAGATCAATGACATTCTGCAGGGTGGGTTACAACCCTAATATATTTGATATAGAACGACTAAAAATAAACTTTAAGGGGATCATCTGGTCATTTTTCAGCATAATCGTCCATCTTGCCAAAATTGCTTTAAATGCATTTCCAAAGAGTTTCAGGGCCTCTAAATCTCCCCTGAATTTTTTTAAGACCCACCCACTATTTTGAAAATAGTAAGAGCCACTTTCAAAAGATTATGATTTTTCACCTTACCTTATAAATTTAGCAATTGTGACATAACAATCATATATAATAAAAATATGAGATGATTTTTTGAGAGCTTATAAAATTTTACATATGATACCACCCTTCTTTTTTTCAGAATAATCTAAAAAATCTGGGAAGTGTTCAAAAAACAATAAAAAAAAAATAACAAATAAATAAGAATTCATATATTTTTTGTTTATGTTTGGATCATATTTCATCTGTTTCATCCTTTAAAATGCTTTGAATATGCAAATGATCCAGATCACAACCAAAATTTCATGGAATGTAAGTTAGGCTAAGACACACCTCTGGTAAAAATCTCATTAAAATCTGTCCATAATTTTATGAATTAGAAAAAATATCCTGGCTCCAGATCATGATCCAGATCACCACCAAAATGTAACAGCATCTAGGTTAGGCTAAGACACACCTCTTAAAATCATCAAAATCTGTTCACAACTCTATGAGTTATCCTTGAAATAAAAAATAAAACCAAACAACAAACAAACAAATAAAGTTCACAATTTATATAAATATAAGATCATGAAATACATGGTAATGATCTGTACATACATACATATCACATATTCATACTGTAACACTACCCTGTATTTGTATATTTGTATTTCACAAGAGTGTTGGTGCAGAAGGTGGGTGTTTTGTCCAATAGATGTGCACTTCCCAGGACTCTGGCCACAGGAACTCGTGTGCACAGGGCCTTCTCTCGAGTCCCAGCCTGCGAGTGTGATATTCCGTGGCATAGAGAATGATGTTTCAGACTGGCCTTTTATGGTGTAAACCCCCATTATGGCAATGATATGGGGAAATAATACATGATTTTATCATATAAAATTAATTCATATATCATTTGTTATCCATAAAGTAAAAAAAAAAAAGTTGAAAAAAATATATATTAATATCTATATATCACACTGTTACGCGTAGCACACGCATTTTCAGTTAGAATGAAACATATTATGGCTCATTTTGTAGCTGAATATTAGATCTATGAAAAGATGCAATGAGTAATAAATTTTTGTATGTGTTTCTTCTAAAAGTAACATATATATATATATATATATATATATATATATATATATATATATATATATATATATATATATATATATATGAAAGCCCCTTTTGTGGTGTTCTAAAAGTAGTCTATGTAAAATATTCACAAAAAAAGAAAGGTTGACTTTGAAAAATAGGCTTCCACATATGATAGCTGGAAAAGTGTTCTTTGCAGGGCGATTTGAATAAAAATTGATCGCAGAGATCTCACTAGGGTCTAGATTAATGGGCATAATTTTAATTAAAATCTGCAAAGGTAATCAAAAACAAAGTAATATTAATAACGATTCACTTAACATATAATCTTTCCTATAATAGATGGAGTAAATATTTAGAAGACATTTAAGAGAGGTTTTTAACCCTTTTTCTTGTGATCATACTGCCTACATTCTATCCATATCCACCTGTTCTGAGATTGAAGTCCAGATAAATAACATGAACTTGATGAATTTATAATGCCTTGGTTGTATGAAATGCAATTCAAACTTTGATGTAAAATGCACAATCAAGTGAACAAATATTTCAAGTTTATTTAGCACTCAAAGT